GGCGAGGCAATAACACTAGGATACCCTGCTGCTGCTTTCAAGCGCGGTCAGCATCGACCCAATGCTGAGTCAAACTCCAATCACAAATCCTCGCCGTCATCCTCGTTGCGTCGTCGTCGTCGTCCTCCTCCTCCTCCTCCTCCTCCTCGTCCTCGTCCTCCTCCTCCTCCTCCTCCTCCTCCTCCTCCCCTTCCCCTCCCACTGCGGATGGCCGGCGCCCTTCCACTCGAAAGAAGCCCCAGAGGGGGCCTCCTGGAGCCTCCTGGGGCCTCCTTGGGCCTCTTCGGGCCTCCGGGCGCATCCTGGGGCCTCCTGGTGCATCCTGGGGCCTCCGGGGGCCCCTGGGGCGTCCTGGAGCTTCGCGGGGTCTCCTGGAACTTTCTGGGGCCTCCTGGGACCTCGTCGGGCCTCCTGGGTCATTGAACCTCCTGGGGCCCCTTGGGGCCTCCTGGGGTTTCATGGGGCCTCCTGGGGCCTCTTGGGGCTTCCTCTTGGGGGTCATCGGGCAAAAAATCCACCGGCCGACGGCCCCGTCGAAAAACCGCCCGGGCCCGTCGAAAAACTTGGCGGCCCTTTTTTGGGGCCCCGTCGAAAAACTTTGCGGCCTTTTTTCGGGACCCCGTCGGAAAGCGCTGGGCTGGTGGAGCGCGCACCTGTTATAAAAACCTGTTTTTTCCCCGGGGCCACGCATGCCTGTCAAATTACGACGAAAAAACCGACGGAAGTTTTCCGACGAGTTTTTATACCCCATCAGTTGGGCCACGTCGCAAGAGAAGGCCACGAGGGTCCCCGAGAAACCCCAGAGAGCATCGAGAAAGAAGAAGGGGAAGAAATGGAGGTGGAGGAGGACGGGGGAAGCATTGGAAATGGAAGGGGGAAGGGAGGAAGTGGAGGAGAAAGAGAGGGAATGGAGGTGGAGGAAGAAACGGAGGAAGTGTAAGTGGGGGTGTAGGCTGCGGACGGTTGCCCCCTGTCCGCTCGCACTGCTCAGCCTCAGGCCAGAACCAAAAGTGACGGGGCCGAGCAGTCTTACAAAGTCCCTGGGTGCGTGGTCGGGCGCCCCCTCATTCTGATCCGCAACTGGGGGAAGGGGTGTTGAAGCTATTCCGTCGCCGTCGCCGTCGCTATTCCGGCAGCGCCCCCCTCGGAAAGCTCTTAAATCGTGGACATGGAACAAGTCCCACATCCCGGCGAGACTTAATATCTCCTGGGCCGTGTCCCCAGACCTCGTAGGACGACGCATCTGCGGTTGTTTGGTGAACTCACGTCATCCTGACCCCTGGCAGCGGCAGCGTGTGGGAACAGAGGGGTGTCTTCCAAGGCGGCCTAGCTCCACGCGGAGCGCGGGCGAGCCTAGCTCGCCCAGCACACCCGCCCAAGCGGACCTTCGCGAAGCCAGGCCGCCGTGGAACACGCCCCACCGCCCCCGCACGCTGCCGACTCTCGGCGCTGGGAGGGGTCCGATGATGATCATGATCTCGATGACTCCGAAGACCACGATGATGACGATCATGTGTTTTTGTTGTTATTATTATGTTATCGATATGGCGCATCGGCCAAGGGACGATAGCACGCAGCCCACGACCACCCCAACAAAAACAACAAACGCACACAAACAACAAACAACTATAAATGTACAAGGACGTCAACTATGAAAGCAGAAGCTCGGGCGCGGGAACACACGCGAATGCGATGCCGTTGACGGCCGCAAGCTATGAGCGGGCGGCACGCTTGCGCACGCTTGCAGCCCGCAGACGGCCCCGAAACAAAACGCGCTAGAAATCGCAAGCAGAATGCTCGCCGAAACGCGCCGCGTTGTCCTCGGGGCGCGCCGCGCCACTCATGAAACAGTAGCGCAGGAAGAGGCGGCACGTGCGACGGACACATATACGTGGCGGTCGAAAAATAGCGCCTAAAACAAATGGCGCCCCGAAAGCTCGGACCCTGCGATGAGCAGACAGCGATGGCCATCGGTGCCCCCTGGCTTGGGCACACGCGCGACGCGCAAACGAAAGCCTCAATTGCCAAAGCCAATTGAACAAAACATATCGCACGGTTTCGCGTTCGACATGGCCGAATGCGCCAAGGAGGCGACGCGAGATCGCCCCGGGGACTTTGACCATCGGCCGCAGACCGCGCTAAAGGCGGACCCCGCCACGCCGTGCCTAGCTCGCGCAGTCTGCGGCGGGAGCGACCCTTGCAGCGCGGACGCTGCGGCGTCTAACGCGCATGATTCGGGTAGGCGAGTCGCTTCCCGAATGGAAAGACCTCGTTTTGCACGCCCGCGCCCGCGACGTCCGCACTCAACCTGCGTCGCCCCGTCAGGACAAAAAATCCGGCCTCAGCCCCTGCCCATGGCGACAAGGCGACCCACTCAACCCTTAGGACTCAACTGCTGGGAGGTCTTCGTCGGAAGGACCAAGGGGGATTAAGCCCCATTGGAGGGCTGTTACGCCAAGGTGGGCCTCGGCTTAGACGGGGTTGAACCGGATTAAGCGTGACTGAGCGGGATTCAGCCAGATTATGCGGGATGAAGCCGGAGTACGCGGGATCTCGGACCAGGGCAAAAGCTGAATTCGACCTCCCAGTTGCATCCGAATAACTCATTATTATCCAAACGTCCATGATCTTCAAAAGATCGGAAACATATGGACGCTGACAAAAGGAACTGGACAACTGGATCCCGTGTACCCAACAACAAATGCTGCCCAGATTTGCCAAGGTAACGGTCTGTGGCGACGAGAAAGGTAACGAGTTCCCGTAAGTCTTCCCCGCGATCACCATGGAACCAACTTTCGCAGTAGATAGAGACCGGGCGAGATGCATCCATCGTGCTCTCCTCCTCAGCGCGAGGCAGAAAACAGCGACGGCGAGCTCGTGGAATTGGAGCCACGGACACAACTTACTAAACGGTGCACGCATGAAGCCGAACGAGTCATGCAAGACCTTCAAATCGAAGGCTGATTCGTCAACGTCGGCGAAAATGGAACTGCTTTCCAAATTGTCGATGACACCCCATTCCGAATGGTCGTACAGAGCCTTCTGGTGGGAGCCGGCTGATCATCCCGATCTTTCTTTTTCAGGACTTAAAGTGATATCCTCGGGTGCAGGGCAGAGTGGCCACACGAAGCCGCCCCAACGCCCCCCCCCCCAAAAAAACCCACCTCACGCTCGGAAAGAGGAGGATGCGCTAAGCCGCCTAACCAGAATTTCCGAGAGAGAGAGAGAGAGAGATAAAACGAGAGAAAGCAAAAGAAGAGAGAGAAAGAGACACACACACACACACACACGATCAGCTACCACCGCCTCTCAAAATGCTCCATGAAGGACCCGCATACTTCAGCTAGTCCGAAAACACACTCAACAATCGATCCAGAACCACACAGGATCGCTGTCAATCACCATGTAGGCACTGTCAGAGGAATTAGCTACTCCAGGGGTGTTGCCGCCGTTGCAGGGCTTCTTGCAGTCAGACGGCCCTGTGCATCAACAATTCGCGATGGGCCCAGAACTGCCGACCTGGGGAAGCTGATACCACTGATCTGGATCATCCTCGTCGCATGTCACAAAGTGCGCCCAAGTGCTGTTCCCTGCCAGGCAGCTGCTGTTGTACATGAAGAAGTGGTAGTTGTAGAGCTCCAATTTCTGGTCCGCGCCATTGTCACACTCGGCCAGCTTCAGACCGCCATCGCTCGCCGTCAGGCACTGCTGAGGCTGGTCTGTGATCCACGGGGGGACCGTGGAGAACGTGCACCTGCTGAGGGTGCCCTGCTGAGCGGCCTCGCGCAGCTTCTCCGTGCGCTGCCCCCTCTGCAAGAGGCAGGACTCGTCCTCGTCCAAGCTTGCGGTGCCGCGCGCAGGGGCACTCGTGACCAAGGCCAGCACCACAACTCGCGCCGCCACCGCCATCGAGCCACCGACGCCCAGAGGGATGTCGGGGGGAGGGGGGGGACAACAACAAACACAGCCCGTGCGCACTGCTTGAGCTAAATGGCTACGGAGGCTGATCATCCCGATCTTGACGCTCGAAAGCGACAACACCGACCTAAACGGCGATAGTTGGATGTATGGTTCCGTCTCTCCATAATGCACGATAACAACTAGAACAAGGCCGACAAGGACATTATGATGGGCTCCATGTGACGTATTGTGCGTTCTCGTACGCACTGCGCGGACGAGAGCGTGGACGAACCTTGAGGAGGAATTTGCACAGTTCCCCTTGTCATCCTCAAACTGTACACTGCTTGCGCATTTTAAAACAAACTGGGCGCTTCGGCCCATCCCGGCGGCACCATCGCGGTGCTATCTCGCAAGTCGCAGCTCGCAGCTCGCAGAAAGAAACTCTGAGAAGCTTTCGGTCGACCCGATGGCGCCCAAGAGCCCGCCGAATCGCGCGCAAAGGGGACAAGATGCATCTCCCTCACAAGGCGCTGTTGGGAATTATTAGTCGCTATGGGACGCAATTCGAGCGTGCTTAGGCGCTACCGGGCGCTACTAGGCGCTATCTTGCGCAACTGGCCACCATTCGCCTTTCATTCACTCGAAGACAGCTGGAACTATACAGGCCTTCCAGATGGGGTTCGAGTCGATGGGATCGGATTGCGCCACATCGTCGATGCATCACCGATTCATCGGCGATGCGTCGGCGACATCGGCGATGCATCGGCGACGCTGGCGTGGAGAAAATCGGGCTCCACACCGAGCCGCATCGTCGATGCATTTGCGATGTAGCGCGATCCTCCGACACTGTCTATTCGGACACCATCTGGGAGGCCTAAGCTATTCAACTTATGTGAGGAAACCGATGGGTACCGACACCGCTACTCCCAGGACCTCTCCCGTGGTGCGTTCTGGCAAGGATTTCGACGCGAATCCAGCGATTGCGACGAGGGCGTCCCAGGCGGCTCAAAAAACGGAAAACCAGCGAAAAGTTGCTTTATGGGTAATTACTTTCCCCCTCTGACAACGGGCGCACAATCACGCCCGAGCGGCCGAAAGACCTGGCGAGGTCGCCGGCCGGCATCCCCGGCAGCCCCGGCAAGCCCGGCAAGCCGCCGGGCAGGCCGCCCGGCATGCCGGGCATCCCCGGCAGGCCAGGCATGCCGGGCAGGCCCCCTGACGGTCGGGCAGTGCGCGCAGGGCGGGAACGCTCGGGCAGGGCATGCAAAAAGAGGGCGTCTTATATACTCCAGACACAGGCGGCCCTGAGACCCTGGCGTCCAGATGTTTTCGACCCGGCCGTTTTCACAAGGCTTCGGGCACCAGGAACATTACGTATCGATCTGGCTCAAACAAGTATGCACAAAAAGCGGTCTATGGTTTTGGCAATTGTTTCACGATCTGCAGGGATACTGGTTAGACACGGGCAAGGTCACTTGCATGGCCTATCGCGCCCCCCCCCGCTCTCCGCTGTCTTGTCGAGCGGCGCTGGGCCGAAGAGGCGTGCGCAGGTGAGTTCCGACTTGCAGCGCTGTGAATCCTGAGGAGCCCTTCTCCTGGCATCCACAAGGAAAGCCCATCAACCCACGAGTGTTTTTTCTGATCGGGCGGGAGGTCACGAGGGGGCAATCAACATGGGGGGGCAATCAGGGTGAAAGAATAGCCCAAGGGGGGCACCTCATGCTCCACAAGAAGGTGCTGGACCAACATGCACCTTCCTTGATGAACCAAATGAAGTCGGAGAAACAAACGAACATCATGTTTGTAGGGCTATAGGACTATGGGGCTACAAGGCTGTAAGTCTCTGGGGGCTATAGGGCTATAGGGCTAAGGGGTTATCGGGCTATAGGGCTAGAGGGCTGTAGAGCTATAAGGCTGTAGGGCTATAGGGCTATAGGACTATAGGGCTATAGGGCTATAGGGCTGTAGGAATATTAGGGCTATAGATGGCTATAGGGCTATAATGCTATAGGGCTGTAGGACTACCGGGCACCTGGGCACCTGGGCCTGCCGCCGAAATCGGCGCCAAACCTCACCTAACCACAAACCATATGAATCCGCTGGGACCACTACAGAGGCAAGCTGTGATTGGGAATTAGGACCCCTAACCCTTCAGGAGGGGACCTAAGATAGGACGGCCAAAAACATTAGGGATAGAGGGTCTTGCCTGCTGATGCACCAAACCAAGCCTCCCATATCTATCATCCCTAACGCAAAGATTGTGCCTTCAGTGAGGCCACGTCTTCATGGTGTTAAAGTTAAGGGTGCTTTTGCTCTAAATGATTCCTTCACTCCACGCTGATATCCCCCACGTTCCCTTCCGGCCGCAAACTCTGAACCAACGCACAGAAAGAGTCCGTGCTCACCGCAATGGACCGTTCTGAGGCTGCCGCCGCGCGAGATCCACCGTCGCATGGGCGCGGCCCGGCCTCTGCAGATCGATTGCGCTAATTCTTGTACCAATGGAGCACGATACAGTAGGGGCCCCACCAAAAGAAAATGTCCACAAGAAACCCAACCCTGAAACCCCAGGACGTTCATCGATTTTTAGTGTGGGGACTCCACGCTCTCCATAACAGACCCGTCGAAACCCAAGAAACCCAGGGCACCCTGGAGGCAAGGAGGGTGTTTCTTCGCATGGGTCTCCACTGTAGCGACAGCACCGCCTTGTAATGTTCATGCTGCAGGCCGTTCGGAAGACCATGGCAAAGTCAAATTTGGGGTCTGTTCCATGGGAGCCTACGTGGCCACGGCGTTGTCCGATTTGGGTCTGATTTAGAACGGATTCGGAACACATTTGGGACGGGATTCGGACCAGATTTGTTCTGGAGTCGCCCCTTTACAAGGGAGACGAGAAGAACGAGGAAGGGGAAGAGAAACTGGAGGGGCGAGGAGGAGGAGGAGGAAGGCCAACTGCGGTCCAAATGCAATCAGGAAAAGCTAATTTCAATGTCGCCGCCCAGGAGTCCCATTAACAGACATCCAAGTCATGATGCAAGAAAGTGGTGAAAATAGATTGGGCTCGTCGCGCACAAGAAACCTGCAGACACCGTTAAGTGATTAGGCATATCTGATTTCGAACTGGCTGGGTTCTAAGAATTTGTTTGATAAGAGAACGTTATACGGAACGAACGACCGCAACAACTGCCCTCATAAACCGCACGCTCCGTGGCCAACGCGGCAGAGACTAACCAGTGGCATACTTTGCAAAATAAAACACCGGGGAGAGGAAGAGGGGGGAGGAATATGAGGAACAACATGGAAAGAAACGAATAGGCCGGCTCACCCAAGGTCGGAAAAGGCACATCCACTGCACATAGAATTAGAGAGAAACGAATAGGCCAAGCCAAAATCGAGAAGAGGCCAAACCATACAGGATTAACATACCGCCTACTGCCAGCGCCAGCCGGGGAGGACAAATCCTGCCCCCCTGCGAAAGACAGTGGCAAGCAACTCCGAGGAGTATCGGGATGGGGATCGGCGCTTCGGCAATCTGAATTCGCTCGGCAAGCTCGGGAAACCTGGCGCTCGTCGTGGAGTGCCAACATCCGCTGGCAGTGAGTCACTCGGCGGCCCTGGGAGCGCCCGAGGGACCCTTAGGCCACAGGACCAGGTGATTACAGGACCCTCGTGGCCTCTGAGGCGGCCCCTGCCTACTAAGTTTGCGCAGGTCCGGGGGCTAAGAGGAGGAGGAGGAGGAGGAGGAGGAGGAGGAGGAGGAGGAGGAGGAGGAGGAGGAGGAGGAGGAGGAGGAAGAGGGGAAGGAGGAGGGGGAGGAGGAGGAGGAGGAGGGGAAGGAGGAGGACGAGGGGGAAAAGGAGGAGGAGGAGAATGAGGAGGAGGAGCCTAAGGAAATCTGAGGAGGAACAGGGAGGCCACCCGGGAGGCCACCCGAGGCATCTCCAACAGGCGACAGCACCGAGCAGCCCAAGCATCCAATCGAGGACAGGCCGGCACATCCAAGACTGACATACCGCAAGCTGCCGGCGACGACGACGACGACGACGACGACGACGACGACGTGACGGCGGCCAATGCTGTCCTGGCAGCGGGGGCATCCCTGGAAGCCCGGGCATACCTGAGGCTTTGCGGCGGCGCGGCGGGGCAGGCGGAGAAGCGGGGAGGGGAACATGGAAGTGGCCAGGGGCAGGGGGAGGGAGGAGAAGCGAGAGCCCCTCGCGTCGTGACAAGAACCATGGCCATCTGCTGTTTCGAACCATATTTCGCCCATGGGAGCCCTCGCCGGGCCCTGGGACTATCAAAAAAACGGCTCGGGATGAAAAAGTAGCCCCCGGGACTGGGGCGAGATCCCAGGGGGTCCACGTTGTGAACGTATCATGATGTCGGGGGTTTGGGAAGGGGGGGGAGGGAGGAGGAGAAAGGGAGGATGAGGAGGATGAAGAGAGCGATGAGGCAGGGGAAGGAGGAAGAGCGAGGGGGTATGAAGAGGAGGACGACAACGGAGGGGGGACAGGGAATTGGGCAGTTTGAGACTCAAACAACGCCCTGGGCTCGAGTGGGCCTTCACGTCCGCCTCCTTCCGCATGCGCTGGTGTCCTGCCGCAGGCAGCTGCGCAGCTCTGGCGGTCTGCGTCCAACGCATGGCACGCCCAGCACACGCCGTGCGTTGACGCGGAGGGGCTGCGGCACCCCTCTTCAAGAGTTGAGCCAAGACAACGTCAGACCAAGACACACTGGGGATCTCTGAGATCCGGCGGCTCCGGAGGATGTGTCGGGCGCCGCGGCCATTCCACATCGCGCTGCTGCGGCCGAACCCTGTGAGAGCGCTGCTGAACGCCCTGGAGCGATCTATCCTGGTCGTGGGCCCTCCTTATCCCACCCCCCTGGGGCGGCCCTTCGTGTCGACTCTCTCTCTCTCTCTCTCCCTCTCCCTCTCTCTCTCTCTTAGTCTTTCTCTTTTTTTTTTTTTTTCTCTCTCTCTCTCTCTCTCTAGAGAGAGAGAGAGAGAGAGAGCACAAACAAAAAACACAAAAAAAAGGTGTCGACATCGATTGGTCTCCCAGGGGGAGAAGGCCACGGCTCCCCCAAATGCGGCTGGTGCAGGTTCCTGGCAACAGGGGGTCCTTCGTCATGGGGTCGCCAAAAAGATGCAACATTCAACGCGCTCTGCCGGCGGCATCCAGCACGATCCAGCATTCATGATTGCACGAACTGTCGGGCACATGTCTGAAACCCCCTACTGCGAAGGACCCGTTCGCCCAAATCTGATGGACGGCAATGGCACAGGCAGAAAACGCAGCCCACAACCTCTCAGTGGTCTGGCCAAACCAAACTTCTCCTGGGCCGGCACCGGCACCTCCCGGGGCGCTGGGCGCCGACCGGAGATCTCCGCGTGGGCAACACGCCAATCGAAATGGACCGCCAAGGGGGGGACTACAGTTCCATCGCATACGGAAGGTTCGCGCGGCATCGGCGCGCGCAACGATGTTCGAAACCGCGTCGATCGTTCAGCCTTGAATCGATGATCGCGGCCCCGATCGTTCAAAAATGAATTCTGCCGGGTCCAATGCTGTTACCGAGTCCCTCGGTACTTCCGCGTCGCAGAATTCCAACTTGAACGCCTTCGCTGGCGTCGCAAGCGCGCCAACACCGCAGGAGCCTACCATAGCAAGGCTGCGCTGTAAGGATGCAAGGGCCTTGGAGGGCCAGGTTGGCGTTTTCGAGCGGGGCTGGCCAGCGAGAGTCTCAAAGGATGGGCCGAAGGGGCAAGGATGCAATGGAGCCTTGGAAAGTTGCTGGTCCTCACCATTCGACTTCACTGTAGCTCTGAGGGGGGAAAACGTCGACCTGGGATCGTCGATACATCGCCGATCGATCGTCGATAGGCCCCCGATAGCGAATCCGCACGCTCCATGGGCGGGGAAGGTAGATGGGGCCCACATTCAAAATCATTGTGAGATCGGTGGCCGACGCACCCCGCCCCACCTGAGTCTCTCCCCCCTGACGTTGCCCCTGACTGGAGAGCAACGACACCAACGAACCCGCAACGAACAGCCTTCTGGAAGCCGGGCTGGAGTTTTCCTCTGGCTGGCGCTGTGGAGCACCCGGGAAACAGAGGGCGCTGGGCGCGGGCCCCAGAACTCCGCGAGCGGCGACACACCGATGGAGAGGGGGGGGAAGGCTGGGGCGGGGGGGAGGCCGGCTCCGGCGGGGTGGGGAACATCGAGCTGAACTCGGCGAGAGGCACCGCCGAGAGATCGGCGATACCTTGGGGAAAGCAAATGGGACCGATGCCGCTGCTCCCCGGGCCTCTCCCAGGAGGCGCTCTGGCCAGAACTTCGAGGCGAATAAAGCGGTGGCGGCGAGGGCCCCCCAGAAGGCCCCAACAGGGGAACACGGGCGAATCGTAGCGGCATGGGTACCATGTCCTCCTCCGAGATGCAGCCCCGAGGGCCCGACGCGGGGTTCCCCCCCGGGGTAGAGGGCCAGGGAAGGCGGCCCATTTCCTGGGATCGGCTTTTCCTCGAGGCCGCTTCTCTGTGGAGCCCAGCATGGGACGCACACAGACGTACTGGTACTCTATGTCCTCCTTGGAGGCGCGCATCCGACCCGAACATGTAATAGATCCATCTTGTAATCTATCGTTTCCCGAACGGTACGGCCAGAAAGCGCCGGCCAAGAAACACATACTATAAGATGTCTCGGTGCGCGCGTCGCCGCTGGGGGCGGCGGCGCACGCATAGTATTAGTATGTTGGGGCGACGCCGACAGCAAATTGACTTGCATGGAGGGGGGGCGCGTGACGAGGCCCGACATGGAATCTAGACTTCACGCCACTCGGGATGGACTTGTACGCCTTCTCGGCCCGGCGCCACTGGAGGGGGAGGGGGAGGGGGATGCTATGCAAATAAACTTGCCTGAGTCGGAAGATTTGACGATCCTGGCGCCCGGCGAGAGGCCGAATATTGCATCAAGAGATTCAGATGGGTTCGCTACGCGGGGGGGTCTGGGAGTGTCGTCCCCTCGGAGGGGGCCCAGCCGCAGACTAGGAGGCAACTCCTGGGAGGTCTTCGAAAGAACGAGAAACGGATAGCAGCCCCGATTGGGGGGCCATTGAGCCGGGGTATGCCGGAGTGAGCGGAGGATCAAGCCAGATGAAGCGGGAGGAGGCCAGATTTACACATCTGCCAGATTAGACCAGATTGAGCGGGACTAAGCTGGATCAAATAGGAATAAAACCAGATTTGGCCAGTTTTCGACAAGGGATGTATCGGCGCCGACTCCGAATTCAACCTCCCAGGTGTTGGGGGAGGACGCCGACCTGGAGTACTTGGGTGACGCACATCCGACTGCCAGAGCGGACGACTCCGCACGCTCCTGGGCGCGGTGGGCTATGCGACCGCCCCAATCGGCGCTGACTGGGCGACCGTGGGTCGATGCGTCCCCCCCCGGGCTCCTCCTCCCCCCCGACGTTCTGGTCGACCCGAGAGGAGGGCCCAGCGACGAGGGGGCGGTGCAAAGGATTTGGTGCAAGAGTTGTGTTGGGTTGCAATAGATTTCGGGTGTGCAATGCACTCCGGGGCGCAAGTGTATTGCTGGGACTCCGGGTGCAATGCGTTAGTTGAAGTACAATGCAGTACGATACCATCTCTGGCGCAATACTACATGTGCAATCTACGAGCAAGTGCATCAAATCTATTGCACCACCCCCTTTCTGCCGAACCCCCTTTTGAGTCACGAGGAGATGAGCGATTGTGGGTCTTAGGAGGCAACTACTGGGAGGTTTTCGTCGAAGGATTAAGGAGGATCAAGCCCCATTGGGGGGCTGTTACGCCAGAGTGGGCCTCGGACCAATTGGGATTCAGCCGGATTTAGCGGGATCAAGCGGGATTGAGCCGGATTCAGCGGGATTAAGCTTCGGACTAGGGCAGAATCAGAATTTGACCTCCCAGGAGTTGCATCCGAAATTGTGGGTCGACGCATCCCCCCCTGAACTAACCAGCCTCGAACTGATCCTTATCCCTAAGATGGGAGAGCAAAAAGCGAGGACAATCTCAGGGCTGTGCCCTCAGAAACCGAGGGAACCCTCACGATCGGCATCGAGGTGAGGTGATGCCAAACACGGGGACGGGCGCATGCTCCCAACTGGTCATGAGCGCACTCTCCCCCCGACGCCGCCCCCCGACGCCGCCCCTCTCCGGCGGCCGTCCGGCACGCTCCAGGCACCCCCCGCACGCCCCCGGCGAGCCGCAGCCGCTGGAGCCTACCCTGGCCGAGAAGCGACGGGAGCGTGCCCCCAAGTCGGCGAGCGAGGGGGGGGGGGAGGTGCGCAGGGGCGGGCCTTCTCTCAGAAGGCTCGCGGAAGTCCCCCCGGCCTTCCGAGGCCTTTCCTGAGCCATCCCCAGAGACACAGGACACTTCTCTTCGGTCGGGCATGTCTCTCTACAGGCGGATTTTGGGCGGAAAATCAAAAGTAGTAAAACAATAGTCCCAAGTCGTCAGAAAATAATAGGAAGATCGTCCCCAGACTATTTCTTGACTATTTTTGAATATTCCCCCTGTAGAGGGTCAGGCCCGACGTAACACTTCTCAGAAGGGCGGAAGGCTCCTGAGAAGTCCCGCCGCCTTCCGAGGAGGCCTTCGAACAAGGCGCACCCGAGCCTTCGGAGCTGCGCCCCAAACCTGTGGGGAGGGCCCGGCCGCAGCGGCGCGGAGACCCGCGGCGGCCCCCCTCGAGCGCGGAGGGAGTTGAGCAGGGACCGACCGTCCCGGCATTCTTATAGGCCTCCCACGACATGTGTTTAGAACCCAAGAATGTCAAAATAACAAAGCCAATGCTCTTCGAACACAAGCCCGACGTATGAAAACAACACAGTCCAGGCCAGAAATGTTATATGAACAGTTCGTGCATATCACACAGGGTCATTAGAACATGCTTGGGTGGGCCCATCGGCGAGCCAGGGCGCTTCGCCACTGCTTGACGATAATCACCTCGCACCTCGAAGCTCGCACCCGAACCTTCGGAGCTGCACCCCCACCTGCGGGGAGGGCCCGGCCGCAGCGGTGCGAAGACCCACATGAGATCCGACGCTGCAACAGAAATTACAACACCGCAGGAAATCAAGACCAGACCTCCCCGGACTCCATCCTTCTGCGCCATTCTTCGAGCCAGATCGATATGTGAGGGTCCCGAGGCCCGAAATGGAGCGAAAACGCCCGTTGGGAAAGAATTGCAACGCCAGGATCGAAGTCGGCGCTAATCGACGCTACATCGACGCTCATCGACGCTGACCGACGGTAAATCGGCGTTATCTCATCGACTCCCAGACGCTAATCATACTCAGCCTCGAACTGATCCCTATCCCAAATATGGGCGGGCAAAAGCGAGGACAATCTCAGGGATGTGCCCTCAGAAACTGAGGGAACCCCTTAGATCGGCATGGAGGTGAGGTGATGCCAAGCACAGGGACAGGTGCGTGTTCCCAACTGGTAAAATCAAAGCTAATCGACGCCAGTCGACGCGAAAGACGGAATTGCGAGGGCACACAAAAACCCCATGCTTTGCTACCGCTGGCCGTCGCTCGGACGTCCCTTCCCTGTGCCTTTTTGCCGTTCCGTGCGTGGCTCCTTCGCCACATGATCCAAAGGATGCTCCTCGATGGCCGTCGCCGAAAGAAGTCTGCACACGTCCGAGCGAGGAGGACCGAACGGGCTCCCCGTCGAGCGGCGGCAGGGATGAAGGGGCCCAAGAACACACATGAATACACACAAACAACAATATTCCCTATATTTTCCTATATTTTCTGGGTTTCTGTCTTCCCCCCCACTGCCCATATGTTCTCATATGTTCTGTGGAATCGCCGATTAATTGTGTCTGTGTGTTTCTTTCCCTCCCGAAGGGAGGGCGCGGCACGCCTGGGAACCCGTGCAGCGGCGGCGGCGGCTCCGGCTCCGGCGCGGGCGGCGGGGCGGAGTTGGGCTGCGGGATGGGCGCGCGGGGGGCGGGGCGGCCCGAGCAAGAGGTGCGACACGGGGGGGACCTCCTCCTCCCCCTCCTCCTCCTCCTCCTCCTCCTCCTCCTCCTCCTCCTCCTCCTAGTCATATTCCTCCTCCTCCTAGTCCTCCTCCTCCTCCTCCTCCTCCTCCTCCTCTTCCTCCTCCCTCCCTCTCCTCCTCCTCCCCCTCCTCCTCCTCCTCCTCCTCCTCCTCCTCCTCCTCCTCCTCCTCCTCCACCCCTCTTCCTCGTGAGCAGCTGCCCCCTGTCGCGGTTGCGCGGGGCGGCCCGAGCACTGGAGCGACACGAAGGGGGGACCACAAGGTCGGGCGCTGGCAGGACGGGGTTGAGTGGGGCCTGGTTACTGGGATGAGTGCCAGGGGACGCCCCCTTCGGTGCCAACTCATGGGGGCCTCAAGTATCATCTTGTCGGCTCTTGCGAATCGACGCGAAATCGACGCTCATCGACGCTAAATCGACGCGAACCGACGCTAAATCGGCGCTATCTCATCGACTCCCAGACGCTAATCGACGCTGATCGGCAGAATTAGGAGGGCATGCCAGGCTCCCATGACTTGCTACCGAGGACCAGGGCTGGGTGCTGGCAGGACGGGGCTGAGAGTGACCTGGTTTGGGGATGCGTGCAGTCAAACCCTTGGGTGCAAGATAAAGGACGTGCGATGAGGATGCGGGGGCCTCGGAATGCCGTCTCGAGGCTCTTCGAGCGGGGTGCGGCTAAGGAAAGTGTCTAAGGATGGACCGAGGAGGCAAGGATGCAAGGGTACCCTTGGGAAAATTGCCCATCCTTACGGTGCGGGTTGACTGTACCGGGGGACGCCGCCCCCCCCCCCTGCCCCATTCCACTTACTGGAACTGCCGTCGCCCGAACAAAAAACAGCTACGGAAGACTTTGTACAGTGATATTCCTCCAAACCCATAATTTGGAATTCGGGGCCCAATCACTGACCGGCTCCCCATAACCAGGGTCCTGGATATACCCGACAGGGAAACACAAATAAGCAGACACGAAGTCCAGGACTCCCTCTGGTTACTTTTCACACGTTCTGAATGCTGGTCTCCTTCTCCACTTCCCATAGCTTCCTAGATGTTCCAGGGATCGACGCTTAGGAACGCCTGTGCCTGCTGTGCCCTGCAGATCGGACGGCGACATCGGGTCGGGTCGGAAGCGGATCGCATCGCCCGGGAATCGCCCCAAACCGAATCGGGGTCGGATCGACGCGCCCGGCCCTGGCTGGCCCCAACCGATGCCTGTGAATCGAACCGCACCGCATCGGATCGCTGCCCCTGGCCCCAGCCTGCACTTCGAACCGCATCGAACCGGATCGCAGGCGGCCCTGCTGGCGGGCCGGCGCCGTGGCCGCCGTCGGATCCACATCTCCGAGGGGGCGGTTCCCTGGCTGTCCCGAGGTTGCCTCCTGAGCTCGCTCGGCGTCCGAGCCCGTCCGGCCGCCGACTGGGCTCCAGATCGAGCCCACCCGGCGGCCGATAGGGCGCAACTCCCGCGGCCATGTCAGAACTGAGCCCGTTGGGCAAGATGTTTCTGGCGTTTACAAATACGTTTGCCCCCAGGAGGCCTCTCGTCGCAACGCGGGGCCTTAAGCGAACGGGCGGTATTGGAGGGGGAGGGGGGGGCCCCCGCCCACCACCGTGACAGACCGTGGTGCGGCAGCTCCTGGGACGCACGGGGGGAGGGGGGGGAGCGTTGCGTTATGGGGAGGAGGGGCGTGGAAGGAGGAGGGGGCGGGGCCTGACGCAAGTCATGGCCCAGAGAGTAAAACAAGCACCCTCCAAGGAGGGGGCGGATCTTCGCGGTCGGGCGAGGAGGAGGAGGAGGAGCAGCAACCGGCAGCAGGAGGCGGGCAGGGCGTCAAGGTGCGCGCGGTGCGCCAGGAGGCCGGCCGGCAGGCGGGCCAGAGTGGAAGATGGGTGACGGAGAGAAGGGGGCGCGGAGGGGCATCCGAGATGGCCCCTCAGGACGCAGGTCAGCCACGAAGAAGACCGATGCCTTCTGCAGCAGAGCAACCAACAGCATGAACATGGACTGTCGGTGGTCCGCGGGGACTTCTTGCGTCGGCGCTGGACTCCGACTGGGCCCATCACCGAGAGTGGAACTAGCTGGCAGTGCGGGACCTGCCAGCTCTGACAAGCTACCCAGATGGGATGACCTTCCAGTGAGGTGAATCTCTAATCCAGGAGAGCCCAGAACCGAATCGATAAGTCGGATCGGCACTCGAAATACATCTGATCGGAGGACATCGGCAGCCGAGTCGGGAACTATCGAATCGGCGGACATCGGCAGGCTAGTAGGCCTCCAATGAGAAGACGGGCCCCACATAAGAACCCCACATCGAATCGAATCGGGATCGGAAGCCATCGATATCGAATCGTATCGAATAGGAGGAATCCAAACGAGCCCTGCTAGTCTGAATCGCCAGCAACACCTTGCTCGACGCTCCCCCGGCCTCCCCCCCCCACGTGAGAGAAGGCGAGGTGGGGCGAGGAAGATAGAAGGCAGAAAAGCCACCCCGATAATGACCACACCGACACGCGAGGCCTCTAGCAAACGCGCCCAAAGAAAGAATCGAACAGGGCAGGTCTGTTTGGTAAACGCTCAGGGCCGTGTAGCAAACGCCAATTGTCCAGTCCGGGATAATGTTCCTCCCTTGAGAAGAGGGGGCGAGGGAGGAGGAGGGGGAGGAGGAGGAGGAGGGGGGGAGGAGGCAGGGCATGGAAGAGGAGGGGGGGAGGAGGGGGAGAATGGGGGAAGGAGGGGGGGAGGAGGGAGGAGCGGGGGAGGAGGGGAGGAGGGTGGGGCGAGGAAGAGGGGGCGAGGGAGGAGGCGGGGAGGAGGCAGGGCATGGAAAAGCGGTGATGCCATGGGCAGGCGGCCCGAAGCCGTGCACACCGGGCTGAAGAGCAGCCCGCCACCTCGGAGGCCTCCGTGGCTGCCTCCCCGCACGGGTCGCGGGGCCCGTCCTGGCCCCTCCTCGGCCTCTCCCTTGAGGAGTCCCGCCCCCTCCGCTCGTCTGGAGTCCCGACACGGTGCGGTGACGGACCGTGCCCAAGAGACCTCGCCGCACGGTCCGTCACCGCACGGTCTTGGGACGCTGGAGGCCCCTGTCGCCCGAGGCATCCTCAGAGAGGGCCTCGAGTCTCAAAACCGTGCGGGGACCCCGAATCCCCACCGACTCACCACGCGGTGTGGTCACACCCCGTTTGGGGGCCCCCGACGGATGGCGGGGAGCCCTCCCTCCCACAACCCGGAGGTGGACGGGTGGATGGCCGGCGGGGGGACGGAGGGCGGTCGACGGAGGAGCCTTGTCCGTCCCCGAGGCCGCCCGCACGGGGTACCCCCTCTCCACCAGGAGCTCGCTGGGGATGCCGTCCTCTCTCGAGCGGGGGGGGGCGCGGGAGGCGCGCGGGGGTGGGAAGGGAGGTCGTCCTGCCCAGGTCTCTGACCATGTGATGTGTTGCATCCCGTTGGCTGCGCCTCGAAACGGGCCCCTGGGGCCCATTGCAGTCAACCCGTATCATGCAATGCACGAGCCATGTTGACACTTTGCGAGCGGGGCCCGGCCAACGAAAGCGGCCAAGGATGGGCCGAGGAGGCAAGGATGCAAGGGCACCCTTGGGAAAGTTGCCCATTCTAACTATGCGGGTTGACTTTACCTCACGACCTCTGGGGACCGCGCAGTAAAGAAATCATGTCGTCGGATGTCCGCTCGCACTCGATGGCAAGTTCGACCTGCAGGCGCTGCTGCCACTGCTGCTGGGCGGCACGCCTGCGCAGAGGGGGCTCCCCTGAGATCCGACGTTGCAGAAAATAACAACATCGTAAAAATCGCGGCGGGAGCCCCAGAGCCCATCTTTCTGCGCCATGTGTCGAGCCAGATCGATATGTGAGGGCCCGGGGCCCGAAAACTTCTACGAAAGCGCCCGTTGGGAACAGCATTGCCACGCCAGGATCTCAAGGCACGGCGGCCCCCCTCGAGCGCGGAGGGAGGGCAGGAGGAGGAGGAGGAGGAGTAGGAGCAGGAGCAGGAAGAGGAGGAGCGGGAGCAGGAGGAGCAGGAGGAGCAGGAGGAGAAGGAGGAGGACCTGCACCTCCTCCTCCTCCTCTGCACGCCTGGCGACCTGCACTCGCGCAGGTCTGCCGCGTCCGCGGGCGAAGCGGGAAGACAAGGAGCACGGCGCGCGCATCGGCGGCGCCCGCGCGCGGCAGCAGGAGCACGGCAAGGGGGGCGAGCGAGCGCACGGAAGCCCAGGCGTGCCTCTGGCGAGGGTGCAAAGTGCGGTCAAGCGTGGGAGGAGCAGCACCACATGAGACGATGACTGCACACCCGCCTGCTCCTCCCTCCTCCTCCCGCTGTCTCTTCCACCTCCTCCCGTTGTCTCCACCTCCTCCTCCTCCTCCTCCTCCTCCTCTTCCTCCTAAGTATCCCTCTGTCTCCTGCTCCCTCCTCCTTCCTCCTCCTTCCTTCTCCTCCCTCCTCCTCCTCCTCCTCCTCTTCCTCCTCGGCACTGTCGCGAAGCGGGCACGCCGAGGCGAACTTCAACCTGGCTTATGGAGAGCAAAAAGAGCCACTACCACCAGAACTCCATAGAACTCTGTTCCCAAAAGACACCCATCCGCGCTGGTAGCACTCCGTTCTGGGCACTCTCTGGGGGCGCGCCCGGAACGGGGTGCCACCAGCTCGGGGAGGGGGAGCTGGCGTTGCCATTGGGCGGACCGGGTGGTGGTTGTCAGAAGCAGCCAACGTGAGGACGCGCGTGCACGTGAGCGACAAGATGACGTAGCGACCTTACGCGTCGGCTGACGTGGGCCGCCAAGGCGGCACGCCACATTTGAAGCGAGGGCGCTTACGCGCGAGCTGACGCGGGCAGCTTACGCGCCAAAGTCGGCGCAAACGACCACGTTTCCTTTTCAGTTGCGTCGCTCACGCGGAAAGTGCCGTTCCGGCCATGCAGATGCAGACTGGACTGGATCAGAAAGGCAGACAGAGAACCACGGACGCACACGCGCGCCCCAGAAGGGAAGCGGTCCATGCCATAGACGTTCATCTCCGGGTTCTCGCGGCCCTGCATGGCGTTCGGGACCCTCTCCAGCGCCCGGGAGTGGACCTCTCGGGGGGCGGCACGCATCGGGCCGGAGAAGACCTTTGGTGCCTGTTCCAAGGGAGCCTCCGTGGCCCCCGGCGCTGTCCGATTTGGGCCCGATTTGGACCGGATGTGGAACACATTCGGGATCGGATTCGGACCCGATTTGGACCGGATTCATCCCTTCATAAGGGGGACGAGAAGAACGAGGAGGGGGAGGAGGAACAAGAGGGGCGAGGAGGAGCAGAAGGAATACCAAATGCGATCCAAATGCAAGAACAGCTGATCTCAATGTCTCTGCCCAAGGCTCCCATGAACAGACATCGAAAAGACTTCATTCCAGGATTCCAGGTTTTCCTCGCAGGCGCCCACGACGGGGCACGAGGTTCAGGCAGAGAAGAAATAGACAGCCACAGGCGGGGACGGCGACGGCGGCGACCAAGACGGCGACGGCGACGGCGACGACGACACGACCCACGACTGACGTCACACCCGCAGCTGCACAACTAGAATAATACTGGAAGAAGAGGAGTATGAGCTGCGAGGACGATGAGGGGGCAGGGACGACGACACTGAAAGGACGAAGAGTAGGGGCGAGGAGGGTGGGTGGAAAGGGCATCCTGGGTCCCACCCGTAGCTCGACGCTGCACTCCTCATCAAGCCTTCCACACGTGACAGGGGGGGCCGTCGAGACTCGGAGACAAGAAACGCTCAGCCACTCATTCCTCCTCCTGCTCCTCCTTCTCCTCCCTCCTACTCCCATTCATCATTCCCTCTTGCCCCCCGCTACAATCGATGCAGACGCCCTCGAGCGCTTCCCGCGGCCGATTTATGGTCCTGACACGTTATCCGTGAAATGCAACACATGCTGGTGATGACGTTGAGGCGACATGCCAGGTGCCTCCGCGAGTGAGATGGTGCGCCGAAGGCTTCCCCCCTGAATCGATATCCTGTATGGCCTAGGGGACCCGAGACCAAACACCACAGGCTCAAGGCAGCCCCGCACGCGGTGCCTGTGATGATAGGCCAAGACGCTGGCACGCCCAACGAAAAAGAAAACAACATCCGTGGATCAAAACATTCTCCGCTCTTAGTTTCTCTCGCGCCGCACCTTGCAACATCCTGGCGGCTCGCGAAGCTGGCTGCACCCCACCCGCGCAAGGGCGAGAACTGGAGAAGGCTTGGCAAAGATCTCCACCCGAAGAGGAACGGGGTCTCAGTCGATCCCTATCTTCCTTCTGACCCATCTAGACGGGGACTTCGACCGTGGATGTCAAACACATTGGAACTTCGTTGCTTGCAGTGCCCTGGCCCCCAAGGCACTGAAGAGAAACGGCCGTCGTCTACGGCCCGCCCCCCGAACATTTCACCCTGCATCATATCCCCGCGTGGTCGAAACATGTTCCAATCTTCGTCCTCTCCCCCCCCTATCTTGCACGCTCCGGGTTTGCAGCGTGTTTTTTTTTTCAGGTGCGCGGATCGATCCTCTCCTCCGAGGTCGCAGACCTTTGTCCGTCACATGGGCCTCTTGGAATTTCGACTCCTTCCCTAGAGGCCTCCTGGACGGGGTCGGAGAAGATGTGGTCGGAGGATCACACCGCATCGCCGATACACATCGTCGATGCATCGGCGACGCATCGGCGATGCACCGGCGGTGCACATGCGATGCATCGTCGACGTCGGCGATGCATCGGCACAGTCGGCGTGAAGCATGAATCGGGCTCCACATCGAGCCGCAGCGCCGATGCATCGGCGTTGCGGCTCGATCCGCTGACCCCATCTACTCGGAACCCATTTGGGAAGCCTAGAATCCACAGGGCCAATCCAAGAACCGCTTTTTTGCATAAACACAAGAACCGCTCCGCGCAGATTTCTCGGGACTGCGATGGACACCCCTCCCTGGCGTGCGGAGCGCGCCTAGGGCGGCGCCGCAAGCGCCGCTTGGGAGGTCCTGCACGGGTCCAAGAAACCCGCGCGGAGCGCCAAACGTTTATGTTTATGGTCAGGTCGGGCGTGTCCTCCTACAGGCGGCTTTTGAGCGAAAAATGGGAAATAGTCACAACATGTTCAGACGTGATCGAAAATTATCAAAAACTCGTCTCGAGACCATTTTTTGACTATTCTTGAACACTCCTCCTGTAGAGGGCCGTGCCCGACTTCAGTTGATGGCGGTGTTTCTTCTTCTTCTTCTTCTGCATCGAAGGTCAGCGCCCCTCAAACGGGGACTCCACTAACGGGTACTTTGGCCAGTGACCCAGCGAACCCAACCCTTCTCGATGCGGGCAACGCTGCATTGCCAGAAAGAGGCCCTAGAGTGGCAGCCTTCGGCAAAATTGCAAGGTACCCGTTAGTAAGTACCCGTTACGGTGCCGCTGAGAGGGAATCTCGACTCCTTTCGGGTCGGGCGAAAGGGGGGCATAGCAAAGGGCGGGTTTGAGAATCAGCTCGCGTAGCTGATTTCCCCTGCGCCTCCCGACGCCGGAGGCGGCTGTGTATCGAGGCATGGGCCCCTCGGTGGGGCCGAAACCGGCTGCATGCAGCACATTTCGTAAACCCCCCTTTCCCAAATCCCCCCCTTTCGTCCGGCCCGACCATCCCCCTTCCCGCTCGCCTCACTCCGCGCGCGCCCGGCTCCCCAGGGCGGCCAGCTCCAGCTGCCAGGCCGGCCGGGGCCGCGCGGGGGGCCCGCCGTCGAGCGCGGGGGCCCCTTGCTGGGAGGCTATCAAGAGGCCGGCGCCGGCACGCAGCCGACCCGCGCATCGTCGGGCCCAAATCCCCCCCTTTCGTTCGGGGATGGACAGACCCCCCTTTAGCAAAACGTGGTTTAGTGAAAACGACCTGAGGCCGAAACCTGGCGGGCGCAGGCCTGGAAAATGACGGCCGCGGCGCCCTCTCGAGAACCGAAAACGGACAATGCACTAATCGACGTGTCATTGTTGGGGGTTCTGTCCACCCCCGACCCAAAACCCCCCCTTTCGTCCGGCCCAAATCCCTCCCCGGAGCCGACCATCCTCTCGCTCGGCCCCGGAGCCCGAGAGCGGCCTGCGGGAGGCCGGCGGCGCCGATAGAGCTCCCCCGGGCGCCTCCGCGGCTCTGCCGGGGCAGCTCTCCCTCCGCGCGGCAGGGCCCCCGCGCAGAGCGTCGGCCGCCCGGGGGGCCTCTCGAGGCCTCCCAGCTGGGGTCGAGGCGGGCCTGCCCCCCTGCAGGGGGAGTTCGGGCGAGAGAGTGGAAATATAAAAAAAAATACTCCCAAAGATGCCCCAAAATACGAAACATGTCGTCCCAAGATTGGCGGTTTTTTTCATACCATTTTTGAAGATTCCCTCTGTAGAGGGACAGGCCCGACTTAAAGCCAGGGTCGGAGCACATGGGGTCGGAGGATCGACCCTCGCCTCCGAGGTCGCAGACCTTGGTCCGTGACATGGGCCTCTGGGAATTCCGACTCCTTCCCTGGAGGCCTCCTGGACGGGGTCGCAGTAGAGGGGGTCGGAGGATCGCGCCGCATCGCCGATACACATCGGCGATGCATCGGCGACGCAACGGCGATGCACCGGCGATGCACCGGCGACGTGGACGATGCATCGGCGCTGTCGGCGTGAAGCAAAAGTCGGGCTCCACATCGAGCCACATCGGCGACGCATCGGCGATGCGGCACGATCTTCCAACTCAAGCTCTTCCGACTCTATCTGGAAGGCCCAGACCTGGGCGGTCCCTGACGTGCGTTCTCGCCCAAAACTCGAGGGAAACCGAGCCGTGGCGACGACGAACCCCGCCGCGACCCAGAAGGGGGGAAGGCCATCCGAAAGCGCTCGATCCTCGAACCCCAAGCCGCCGAATCGTGAGAGACGTAAGACTCGGGTATGGAGGGCTCGGGCCGGCCTGAAGGGGCCGACAGGAAAGTGACGAGACCCCATCTGAAATTTGACGCGAACTCTCGCTGCACACATCCCACGCACACCTGGCCTTGAAAATCCAGGACGGGCCCATTAAAAAACGTCGGTGAATCTGAATTCTGACGAGCTCGAGTCTTACTCGGAGGCCCTAAAACAATGTGGTGACCACACCGCGAATCGAGTCAGTGGGGATCAGGGATCCGGAGTCACCGAACGGTTTTGGGACTCGGGCCGCTCTTCGAGGACGTCTCTGTCGACTGGGGCCTCCAGAATCCCAAAAACGTGCGGTGACGGACCGCGCGGTGAGGTCGTTGGGGGTTCCGAGGTCAGCACGCGGTCCGGTTTTGGGTTGGAAGCGGCCGGGGGTCTGAACTGGTTGGGACCTCAGAAGGTCGGTCAGGAAGGGGGGATAGGGCCAAATCCACTCAAAATCAGTCCCCGGACCCTTCCATGGGTCCATCTGGTGCAGTTCCTTTGTTCTTAAAACGCTCAGGGGTCCATGTGGAGCAGTTCCTTCCAAAATGGTGCATACATATATATATGTGTGTATGTAGATGTTTGTATTATAATGTTATGTATATATGGGCATATGTATACATAGATTTGTGTATGATGCGGTCCCCGCAAAAAACCCATCTGGCTCCCCTGGACCAGGATTTCACGATCCCGGGGCTTGGGCGCATGAGAAAATGAACTTCGTCACCTCTTGAAATGGCCGACCTGGCGGGAGCAACTCTCCCCTGACCCCAGGCCTGTACCTCCTCCTGCTCCTCCTCCTCCTCTTCCTCCTCCTCCTCATCATCATCACTATCCCCCTCCTCCTTCTCCCCCTCCTCTTCCTCCCCCTCCTCCTCTCCTCCTCCTCCTCCTCATCCTCCTCCTCCTCCTCCTCCTCCTCCTCCTCCTCCTCCTCCTCCCTCAACTCCTCCTCCTCTCCTCCTCCTCCACCTCCTCCTTCTGCTCCTCCTCATCTCGTCCTCCTCCTCCTCCTCCACCTCCTCCTCCTTCTCCTCCAACTCCTCCTCTTATTCCTCCTCCTCCACCTCCTCCTCATCCACCGTCGAAATCCCTGCTGGCGTGACCTTCAGGGTGTGCACGATGAGCCCCTGGACGCTCTCGCACTTGCCCCGGATCTCCCTGTCGCCGCACTCTGGGCACCTCCGGCGTCGGGGAGCGAGGAACAGAGGAGGGAGGATACGCCACGGATGCATGTATACATAATTATACGTGCATGCATGCATGTTAACATTCATATGTACACATAAGCATACACACATGCATGCATGCATGCATGCATACATACATGCATACATACACACATGCATGCATGCATGTATGTGTGCATGTGTGTATGTGTGTATGTATGCATGTATGTATGTACGCATGCATGTATGTATGTATGGATGAGGGAGGGCTGCGGTGTGTAACATCGATGGCTGCCAATGTTGATGTATATACCGCCCCTCCCTCCCCTGAGGCCCAGGAACTATTTGTTGCAGGGTGCCTGTGCGTATAATTGTGCGGCGGAGAGGAAGCTGGACGGGAAGAGATGAGGAGGGGGTACGGAGGAGAGAAACATGTCCGTGCCTCCAGCTCCTCCGGCATCCGCTCCGTTGACATCTCCCGACTTGCTACGACGGAAGCCTCCCGCAGAGCCTCCGGCAAGGTCGGGCCACGCACCGCGCGACAGACAGGACGTGGACACGGGCGGGCAAGGCCAGGGCCACCACGGGCGTGAGCACAAGGCGACGGGCCAGGACTAGTAATCGTAGAACAGGAACATGGACAGGTGCATGGACACAAAACAACTACCAGGAGCATGGGCGGGTGCAAGGACGCAAAACAACTTCATATACATACTGCGTGGAATATCGCACGCAACTACTCCTGGGGCTGAGATCCCAAACAATCCGGGGCGCTCCTGGGCGCTCCCGCGCGCGCGCCGCGTGACCCAGAGGACAACATACTTGAACAGACACATCTGTGTTGTTCCTCGGCCCTAGACTCTGGGGAAACGAACTGTCCCTGGAAGCCCTAGTACCAGGATGGCCCCCAAGACCGCGCGGTGGCAAGATGGACATAATGCTACTGTACATGCGTACCCATCGCTCGGGAGATGCAGGTAGAAACACGAAGTAGAAGGCGTTGAAAATAGATGGTGTGTCCGCCCGCCCCCGAAAGAGGACGGAAAAGGGGAAGCCACTCGATCATTGAAGTAGGAAGTCGGTTGAAGTGGATTGGAATATGGCACTTGGAGCTTCTTTCGGCGGTAGACAAACCTCCCTTTAGCAAACCTCCCCGTAGTGAGAGCGGCCTGGGACCGAAACCGACGGACCTGGACCCGCAAAAATAACGGCCGCGGCGCCCTCTCGCGAGCCGAAAACGGCCAATTCGCTAATCGACGTGTCAGGGTAGGAGGTCTATCAACCTTCGATCGATCATTGAAGTAGGAAGCCGCTTGAAGTGGATTGGAATCTGGCACTTGGAGGCTCTTACTTGGGTTAAGTCGGGCGTGTCCCCCTACAGGGGGATCTTCAACTAAAAATAAAGAAATGCCCAACGCATGCTCCACAATGGTCAAAAAAATATGCAAAAAATGGTCCCCAGACTATGTTTTGCCTATTTTTGAAGATTCCTCCTGCAGAGGGACGAGCCCGACTGAACACTTGGAGCTTCTTCCTTGGGCTCCCGAGCACGTTGGGTGGACTGGCCCGGGGTTCCCGCCGCGGCTCTGCCCTGCGGGCACCCCGTGCCCGCCCGGTCGTGACGGCGCCCCGTGCAGCTGCGCTCGGTGGGGCTCCCTGGGGTCTCTCGCCGCACGTCCCCCTCGTGGGCGCCCGCGCCCGCTGAGGGGGGGAGTGGGGGGAAGGGGGGGAGGGAGGAAGAGGAGGAGGACGAGGAGAGACTGACATAGCAGGAGATGGGAGGAGAAGGAGGGGGAGGAGGAGAAGAGGGAAGAGGAGCAGGAGGAGGAGGAGGAGGAGGGGGGGGGAGAGGAGGCCAGGTGGAGGCGTTCCTTCTCCACCTCATCCTACATCCTCCTCCCTCCTCCCAGTCCTCCTCCTCCTCCTCGTGCTCTTCATCTCTCCTTCTCTTCCCTCCCCCTCGCCTTCACCCTTGTTCCACCTCCCAGCTCCCCTGGGGCGCGGAGCAGCCCAGGGGAGTTGAGACCGCCCTAGACCACTCAGGGGGGCCTGTTGAGGCCAGCTGGGACTAGTCGGCTGGCCTGAGGAGGCCAGCCAGAACTACCGGGAGGGGCTGTCTGCGCGCACCCCGAAGCCTTACCACGGCCCTCTTTCCCTTCGCATGCCTCTCCAGAAAGCAAGCTATCCGAGAGAGGCCATCCCCCCGCGAGGGCCCCCCCCTGTGCACGCCATCCCATGCCAGGGCTTCTTCGGTGCACGCTGTCCCGAAGGTGGGGGGTATCGTGTGATAAGCGGGCTGGCGGCGCCACATCGCACACTATCTTTTCAACGCCAACCGCCAATCGTATATCCTCCTCTTTCCTCCCCCTCGGGGGGCGGGCGAGGACCTCGGCAGAGATCGCTGCCGCACCTCGACGAGGGTCCATCAAACCTCTGGCGCAACGTGGTGTCCGCTTAGCCCAAATGACGCCGATCGCCGACAACATCCTGGCGTACCCACGACGCTTACTGTTATGTTGCTCCCATCGTACTTGAGGACCACATCCCAGAAATAATGTCGAGCACTCGGAAAAGTGCCGAAAAAAAGTCGAAAGAGTGTCGAAACAGTGTCGGGCGAGTGTCTCCCAGGGCCCGACACGTGAAAACCCTAGTGTTTGGGTACTCTTCTGGTGCTCGAAATTCTTTCTGGTGATCAAGGCTAAAGTAGGTTGGAACATCAGAAGCCTATTGCAGTCACTGACCCTCGTCCTCACCTCAGCCCTCTAGAGCTTCGGTCTGCGAACACACAGCCCCCCCCCAGGCAGTCCTGGCTGGCCTCAACGAGCCCCCCCCCCCCCGAGCGGTCCCAGCGGGCCTCAGCATGCCCCCCGAGGAGACTGGGGCGGGCTCAACACCTCATCCCTGGGGCGCGGAGCGCCCCAGGGGGGAGCCGCTGGCGACGGCGCCAGGGTGTTGAGACCGCTCCGGACTGCGCAGGGGGGCCCGTTGAGGCCAGCTGGGACCACCTCGGGGGGCGCCGGTTGAGGCCAGCTGGGACTACCGGGAGGGGCCGTCTGCGCACCCCGATGTCTTACCACATCCCTTCCTCCCCTGCCGACGTGGCGGCGGGGCGGGGCCAGGCGCAGGAGCAGGAGGGAGGCCAAGCGGTGGGGGCGCCGGAAGTGCTTCGCGCGCTGGTGCTGCAGCAGGACCTCCCGGGCACGCGGAGGGGGCTCCCGACGACGCGGCTGCCTGGGCCGCCGACGACGTCAGCCGATTGACGAAGACGACGCCGCCTGCCGACGACGGCAAGGCTGACGACGCCGCCGACGACGACTGCTGGCGACAACGGCAGCCGCAGCTCGGCAGTCGAAGAGCGGAATACAACAAATTGTTCCGCCCTCGAGGGCGCCTGTCACAGGGCGGGTGGCAGGTGGGGGTCTAAACTTCCCGGCTGCCCTGGGACAGGCGACGCCGATCTCGGAACAAAACCGTGCTATACAGTTCTGAGTCCACCGAGCAACCGCTGCCAGCGCACGCCTTTGCCGACGCCGCAGACGACGGCGCAAACGCCGCCGAGGAAAGGCGCGCGCGCCGACGGCGTCGGCACTCCAGGGTATCTGTCTATCGCTACGGCGGGCCACGACAAAGCCGACCACGGTGGGCCTTCATCTACCGCTCGCCCGCCGTGCCGCAGGGAAGCGCCGCGGCAAGCAACACCGCTGAAAGCCCAGCTACACGTCTTACTAATAATTACTCCTCGTCCTCGACGTCATCGTCGTCGTCGTCGTCGTCCTAGTCCGTCGTCGTCCTCGTCGTCGTCGTTCTCGACCTCGTCCGTCGTCGTCGTCGTCACCCTCGTCGGTCGCCGTCGTCGTCGTGATCGTCGTCGTCAACGTCCTCGTCGTCGTCGTTCTCTCGTCGTCGTCGTCGCCGTCGTCGTCACCGTCCTCCTCCTCGTCCTTGTCGTCGACGTCGCTTCGTCGTCGTCGCCGTCGCCGTCGTCCTCGTCATCGCCGTCCTCGTCGCCGTCCAAGTCGTCGTCCTCCTCCTCGTCGCGGCTCGCCGTCGTCGTCCTCCCCTAGCAGGACGACAACGGGTGCGAGAAGGAGGTGAACGAGGAAGGAGGGAGTGCGGGCAAAACGAATCTTCATAATCGAGCGCGTGCGATAATAATGTACATCCCCTTTCCCCCTCCTATTTCTTATCCCCGTTATTTAACTGTGGAGAGGGGCGCGGAGGCCGAACTTTATATCCACGGGAAAGTTGCGAATCAAAGTTGCTATCATATCATGTTGACTAGCAACAGCATCAAAAACGCTGAGCATGGCCATGGTGGTCTCACCACACCACACCAAGGACCTCTCTTGCGCTGGCAAAGTGTAGGGGCCTGTTTAGCCACGAACCTCCAGATCTCTCGAGTCAGCCTTGTGCCGTGCGCCTGCTGGCAAGTAGCCACGAGCCTCGAGATCTCTCAAGTCAGCCTTGTCGTGCGCCTGGTTAGTCACGAGCCTCGAGATCTCTCGAGTGAGCCTTGTGCAGAGCGCCCAGGATCACCATCATCATCATCATCATCATCATCATCATCATCATCAGCATCAGCATCAGCATCAGCATCAGCATCAGCATCAGCATCAGCATCAGCATCATCATCATCATCATCATCATCATCATCATCATCATCATCATCATCATCATCAACATCATCATCATCATCATCATCGTCATCGTCATCGTCACCGTCATGATCATCATCATCATCATCATCATCATCAGCATCGTCATCATCATCATCATCATCATCATCATCATCATCATCATCATCATCATCATCACAACTTAACTTCCCCGGGAAATCTTTCATTATCCCCGCCAGAACCCCGAACTTTATTATCCCTGGGTTATTAGTAGCGCCCGCGGTGGGTTATACAATGCGTCTTGGACTTCTTTGGAAGGTGCGCCGCAAGGCCGAGGCGTACCGCATATGGATAGAAGTCGAGCCTCTAGGGACCGGATTTTTAGACATATCCAGTGCTCCGCGGGATCCTGGAAGACTCCAAGCTGCAGAGGACATGGACACAAGTCTTGCCCGTAGGGAGGGGAGGGGGGGGCGGAGTCCTCCTCCTCCTCCTCCTTCTCCGTCCCCCCTCCCCCTCCCCCTCCACCTCCCCCTCCTCCTCCTCCTCCTCCTCCTCCTCCCTCCTCCTCCTCCTCCTCCTCCTCCTCCTCCCTCCCCCTCCTCCTCCTCCTACAGGAGGATGAGATCGGCAACGAGCAGGAAGATAACGAGGGAGGAGGGAGGGGAGGGCCCCGCCCTGTTGCCGCTCCCGGTCCCGGTCGCGGTCCTTCTTCTGCTCTCCACCCCTCGCTCCGCCATCGCGCTGCCTCTCGTCGTCCTCGTCCAAGCTCTCGTCCTCGTCCTCCTGCTCGCCCTCCTCCTCCTCCTCCTCCTCCTGCTCGTCCTCCTCTTGCTCCTCCTCCTCCTCCTCCTCCTTCTCCTCCCCGTCCTCCACCCGTCATCCTCGTCCTCTTCGTTGTCCTCTGCCACGCCCTCGCGCTGCTCGACATCAGCGCTGCCGCCCTCGCGCTGCTCGCCCTCGTCCTCATCCTCGTCCTCCAAGGTCGCCCCCCGGAGATCTCGACCCATTGCACTGGGCCAGCGTCTCATCCTGAATCGCTTCTTGACAACCATGGGGCCCTGCGAAGGCCCCCAAAGGCCAGAAATAGCAAAAAGGCGGGTTGAAATACGTCCCCTTGTTGCCGTTACGGCCTCGATTGCGCCGGCAAGCGGGTCGAAATGTGTCGCCTGATTGCGGTTGCGGTTGCGCCCGCGGGCGTGTTGAAATGTGTCGCCTAGTTTCGGCTGCGGTTGCGCCCACTTGCGAGCTGAAATGTGTCGCCGGGTTGCGGTTGCGGTTGCGCCCGCGTGCGGGTTGAAATGTGCCGCCTGGTTGCGGTTACGTTTGCGCCCGCGGGCGGGTTGCAACGTGTTGTCCAAAGTGCCCCTCCAAAGCGCTCGGTAAATCAGTCAGCGTGGGGCACGGAATGTCACCCAGCTCCGCCGGGAAAAACGGCTCGGGGTGAGAAATCTGTCCCAGGAAAGGGGTGGGTCTCCCAGGGACCCCGTAATTATCGATAAAACAGCAATGGCGACCTTACGAGGTGGCGTACGCGGGCCGCCAGCGCGGCACGCTGCATTGGAGACGAGGGCGCTCACGCGCGACCTTACGCGGGCAGCTTGCGCGCCAGTGCCGGTGACGACGACGCCGTTTCTCTGCGCCGCTCATCTGTCTATGCGATGCGATGCGACTACTGTTGCAGACAGTGTCCAGGCCCAGGTCAGACCAGGTGGGTGAGGCCGTGGCCTGAATGATCTGGCTTGCTCGGATACATGCATCTGGAAAACTAGCAACATGCCTCGAGAGTCTGTCGCTCGTCTGTCTAGAGACCTCCCAAATTGGTTAACGGGCAACGCGTCGTCATGGCCACTAGAGGGGCTGCTGGCACGGTATGCCCGCGATCTGAGGGCGCCGTAAAAGCATGGGCGCTGGTTGTCGGATCTCGCAGGGGGCTTCAATTCGAGCGGGAACCCCGCTTCGACAACGCACACACCCATGGCCCCTCTACGAAGCTCCACCCCTATGAATATGTGGGCCGCAAGAGTATAATTGCTATGCAGTTGTCAGCTCGTGACAAACAGGGTCCGCGTAGATGGGGCTGGAGGATCGCGCCGCGTCGCCGATGCATCGGCGCCGCTGGCGTCAAGAACATCGGCTCCGCATCGAGCCGCATCGCCGAGCCGTCGGCGATGCGACGAGATCCCTCGACCCCACCTGGCAGGCCTGGGCTGTCTGCGGTCCATGGAGGGGGAGCGATGGACTGCCGATCCGGCTAGTGCCGCCATGACTCCACCATGGGCGACGATACAAAACGGGTCTTGCGCGAGATGGCTCAGCGACCTGACGGAGCGGCATACGCGGTTCGCCAAATCGGCACGCTGCGTTGGAGACGAGGGCGCTTACGCGCGATCTTGCGCGGGCAGCTCACGCGCCGAGGTCGGCGCAGGCGAACCCGGTTGTCTGCGTCGCCGAAGTGGGGATGGCGATGCCGGGGCAGGCCGAGTCGAGACACTTGAAACGCAACATCGGCTTCACGATCCCGTTCTGTTACGTCGCCCCGCTCGCGGGAAACTTCGGCGGTAAACAAACCTCCCTTTAGTACATCTCCCTGGGACCGAAACCGACGGACCTGGACCCGCAAAACTGACGGCCGCGACGCCCTCTCGCGAACCGAAAATGGCCAATTCGCTAATCGACGTGTCAGGGTAGGAGGTCCGTCCACCCCCGAAAACTCTGGGGCTGCATGGACTGGCGGCGGAGCGTCCGACTTTCCGCTGGACCCCGATGCGGCGGGTGGCGGAGAGGGCGAACCCGACCCACTCCGCGCGCTCCCGCCGCCGTGCGTGCGGAGGCGCAGTCGAAGCGGCGATCGAAGTGAATCGGCTCGGGGGACATCGACGGGCAAGTCGCGAGGCGTCGAATCGGCGGAAAAGGCCACCGTTGAGAAACCGAGCGTCCGAGTCGGAATCCGAGGTCGGACCCGCGGAGGCAGGTCACCGCGGCCGCGCTGCAGCTTTCCACCTCTCAAAGCCTTCGCCTCCCGCTGGCCTGAAGAAGGCCAGCGTCTGTTTCGTTGTGATACCGGCGTCGGAGCGCGCAAAACATTGACACCGCGTCGATCGTTGAAACTTGAACCGATCGCAACCCCGTCCGTTCAAAATTGAATTCGATCGGATCCTGCAGCGTTGCCGTGCCCCTCGGTGCTTCCGCGTCGTTCTATCCTGCGGAATTCAACGTTCAGCGCCTTCGACCGGGTCGCCAGCTCGGACTACAGTCTCCTCCTCCTTCTCATCCTCCTCCTCTGACGGGCAGCGATCGCGGGGACTGGCTCAGGGGGGCAAGCATCGACCCAGAATCGGCGATGCATCGCAAATGGATCGGCGATAGACCCCTTGTGGTGAAACCGGACGCTCTGGGAGGGCTGGGCTTTCAGGCCCATGTCGGCGATAGATGGGCGATGTGGGGCCGATGCGTTCCTCTGAGAGCCTGTCCTTTCCAATGGTGCCCGAGTACCTCGTCCTCCTCCCTTCCGTGCGCAGGAGCGCAGACCACTTCGTCATCGAACTCCCTGTCGCAGAAGAAGCAGAAGGGCTTCAGGACCTTGTTGGTGCCACCGCCCAGGGCCTGCCGCTTCTGTGGCGACGGACGTCAGGAAGGGGGGGAGGGAGTCTTCGCACGAACGACGGAGCATGCAACGAATGGCTCAAAGACCCGATGGAGGGGCCCTTGAGCTGGACTGGCCCTAATGAAGCCCTGGATGAAGCGGGATCCAGCGGGCCGATGCCAGAACAGGCTGATTTTCGGCTTCGGCTCTGCAACGGCAGGGTGAGAATTCCACGGATTAGGGCAGCGCGTCCGTGTCAGGAGTCAACGCTAAAGATTGAAGGCAACGTCCGTGTCAGGAGTCAGAGCGAAAGATCGGAGGCAACGTCCGTGTCAGGAGTCAGCGCTGAAGAGAAGATGAAGTTCGGGGGGGGAGGGGAGGAAAGCTGCAGGAGAGGGTAGCCCGCCCTCCCCCCCCCCCAACCGAGCCTTCACCTTCGCGGGAGCGTGACGTGACAATGAACAGGGCTATCTAATCTCTGGGCCCCCGAGTTACCCCCCCCCGGGAATAGTGAACAGCGAGGGGCGGATGCCGTCGTCGCCCTCGGAGCGCGCTGACTACCCGAAGCGCGAGACTGCACAGGGCGGGCCAGGAGGGACGAGGCGCCCCCTACTGCTATGCTGCTCCCAGCGTGCTTGAGGAACACATCCCAGATATACTTCCGAGCACCCCGAGAAAAGTGTCGAAACAGTGTCTGCTCGACACGCTGGCGCAGTGCCGAACGAGCATCGCCTCCCAAGGCCCGACACGTGAGATTGTCTGGATTCGATACTTCCGTGGTGCTCGAAATTCTTTCTGGCGATCAAGGAACAGCTGCTGGCACAATGACGCCACATGGGAGGTGTCCCCTTCCTGGGAGCCTTGGCCCAACTTCCCAGCGGCACCACTCACCCATCGGGCTTCCACTGACCCGGCTCAATGCAAACTCGGGTCAGCCAAGCTTTGCAGGATACTGCCTGCGCCCAAACCCAGGTCAGTGCGCCCCTGGATCTGTAAGATCCTGCCGGATCCGGCGCTCTGACTGGCCCCCGCTCGCATTGAGCCCCGTCCCTGGAGCCCCGACAGGTCAGAGCGGCCCTGGCCCTGCAAGATCCTGTAGGATCTGGCGCTCTGAATGACCCCCCGTCTCTTGGGCCCCGACACCAAGCCCAGGCGATCGGCCATGGCACCGTGCCCGCTCCCCACCCCCCGCCTCCACTCCAGCCATCCATCCACCCACTCCCCTTCTGATCCCTGTCCTCCACTTCTTCTCCCCTCGGCCATCATCTCCATGCCCCTTCCCTTAGCGGGCCCCCTGAAACGGCAAGGCCGTTGTTGTTCATCGTTTCCGAAAAGGTCTCTTGAAAATAGAAACGGCTCTTGAAAAAGAACCGATACTTACCATAACGGCAAGACGGAACCAGTAACAAAATAGCCCTTTCGTTTCCAGGGCCCATTAAGCCCCTCCCAACATGCCCAGTTGCCCTGCTGTCCGTTGTGTCGGCTTGACCGGCTCAACTGTCGAGGCACAAGCCCCCTGCCTTATCTTGCGGCGCGCACGCGGGGGTGTGGAAAGGCTTCTCAGGAGGCTGCCTCTAAGAATTGAGCAGGGACCGACCGTCTCGGCGTTCATATAGTCATACCACGAAATGTTCGTAGAACCCCAAAAATGTTCTAAGAACAAAAACAATGTTCTTAGAACATGAACCCGATGTGTTAAATCAAGACAGTCCCAGCCAGAGATGTTCTAAGAACATTTCGTGGGAACCACAAGAGGTTCTTAGACCATTGTTTGGTGGGGCTAAAGGCAAGCCAGGACGCTTCGCCACTGCTTGAAAGAAGCCTTCCCCCCCTCACCCTGCCCCCCCCTGCGCGTGGCTGATCCCTCCCCCTGCGAGTCTTGCCCGGAACGTCCGCTGTGTCGGTGCAGGCAGTGCGTGCGGTCTCCCCTCGGCAGTTCTGCGCTGGATCGGACCGCGAAACCGGATCGGATCGAGGGCAAATCGAATCGCCAGCGAATCGTCCTGAATCGGACCGGTATCGAATCGCCGCGCCCCGCTTCCAACTGGCCCTGGCCGGGATCGCGGCCCCAGCCGGCGAACCGACTCGCATCGAATCGGCTCGTAGACGGCCCTGCCCGGCCCACGCGGCCGCCGCAGACAGATCACCGTGGGTCGCAGCCGACCCGCGCTCCAGGATGGCCCTCCAGGTGCTGTCGCTGATGGGACCCCGCTCACGCCTCCCGACCCAGCGAAGGGGCTGTGGCACAACTCTGGGAGGCCACTCTCGAGTTAGAAAGGATATTGCGGGGCTGATGCACCCCCGGGGCGTTGCCAAGGAGCACTTCTCGCTTCTCGCGGATCTCCTGGCGGCCCGATGGGCTGCTGCGTGGCTGTTTCAGTGGTGGGAGCTCCATGGGCCTCACATCCGTGTGGACCTTCTTCGGGGACATCCAGGATGTCCCATCAGTCACCCATAGGGGATCCACCCAAATGACCTGCTCTGGGACAGGGGATGTCCTCGGTAACCCCCACATAGCAGGCTACGCGTTGGGGCTTCCCCGTCGACGGATCATTCAAACGCAAAGGACTGTCTAATGGCAGTCCGCCCGCTCGTAGACCTGGACACTTGGCCAAAGATCGAATACGACAAAACGGCACGAGCATGAACTTTCGAAGCTCCGCTCGGATCTCCTGGATCGGCGCTGGACACCCCTCACCGGAGCGCAGAGCGCGCCAGGCCAGGGGGGGCCAAGCGCCGATCCAAGATCTTCCCGCGGAGCTCGGACATTTTTATATGACTTCTGTTCTCATTCGCTCATATCCTGATATTTGTTGTGTCGATCCCTATCCCCACTGGGGTGGCCCTGGCTCCCACCGGCCCATTGACCCCCCCAGATCGGGATGTATTGGCTGTTCCCTTCGAATTCCGAGGGGCATGTCCCCAGTTGGGGTGGTGGCATGGTGGGGATCGGGATGGGGACGGGGACGAGACTCGGTCAAACGCTGCCGATGGCCCCTCCCGCCTCCCTTCCCAGACCGCTCCAGAAGCAGGACAGGCCGCCCAAGGCCTCCGCGAGCCCCCCCCCACCCAACAAAAAGACAGTGCCCGAACACCCTCGATGCCCTCCTCCTCCTCGATGCCCCCCAACAAAAAGACGATGCCCCCTCCCGAACACCCTCGAAAGACCCTGGCTCCCTCGATGCCCTCCTCCTTCGGGGCGTCCCCCGAAGGGGGCCGCCTGTGAAGGGGGAGTCCCACCTCCTCCTTCGACGCCCTCCTCCTCTCCTCGGGGCCCTCCTCCTTCGACGCCCTCCTCGTTCGGGGCGTCCACGAGGGGGGCGCCCCACGGGGAGGCGCGCGCCTCGGCCGATGGGGGGGGGCCGCGGGAGCGCGTCGGCAGGAGAGGGGGCCACGAGATCCAGGCAGAGACGTCGTGCCCCCCGCCAGGACGTCCCCCCCGCCCCCCCCGCCCCCCCCCCCCCCGTCTGATGAACCACAAACGGACGCCCAACCAGTCTTTTGGGAGAGGACCCAAGTTAGGAGAGCCAGGATTATCAGGGATAGAAATCCTTTTCTTCTGATTAACCACTACATGAACCCTAAACCTCTGGGAGGGAGCCTGAGTTAGGAGGGCCAGGAGCATTAGGGAGAGTTGTTGTTCTGCAGATGTAGTTATCGAGCCAAGCCGCGCAGAACTATTATCCCTAATGCGAGGACGGGGACCTCAGTGAGGCCGCGCCTTCATCGTGTGATTAGGTTTAGGGGTTCTTTGATTCTCGATGGGAGACGTCATAACCCCCGCCATGACATGCACCCCCTACCCAAGTCGTCGTCCCCCTCTTGGACGTCCCGCCCCTCCCCTCCACTCGCGCGCCCCTCCGCACCTTCCCTTCCTCGCCGCCGGGCCCGCGCCTTCTTCCGCCCCATCGCCTCGCCGCTCTCAAGCGCATCCCCCGCGCATTCGTCGGCTGGGCGCGGCTTTTTTTGGAGCTCGCGGTCTGGGCGAGGAGAGACTGCGAGGAAGCGACGGGTTAGGAGGCAACTTCTGGAAAGTCTTCGCGATAACGTTTACAGTCAATCCGTATCATAGGGATGCGCGATAAGAACAAGTAGTACAAGGGCCTTGGAAGGCAGTTTCAAAGTTTTTCCAGTGGGCCGCGGCCAACGAAAGTGGGTAAGGATGGGCCGAGGAGGCAAGGAGGCAAAGGTACCCTTGGGAAGCTTGCCCATCATTACCATGCAAATTGACTGTAAGGGCCGCTAAGCCCGATGTGAAGGCCGATCAACCGGAGAAGTCCGACAAACAGTGAGAAGCTGGACAACACCGTGCCAACCTGGAGGAGGCCGTGCAGCGGGGATAGAACCCGATCGAGCCCGACAAAACAATGGTAAGCAAACTTTAACAGATTTGGCCAGATTAGGCCTGCGTTCGACCACGGATATACCAGCGCCGATGCTGAGTTTGGCATCCCAAGAGTTGCACCCTGAGAGGGGCAAGGACGGGCACTGGCCAGCAGGGTGAGGAGGAACAGGGGAAGACAGGCCAGGGAAGCGCTCAAACGCGCAATGATGGCCTGGGCGAAACCAAACCGAGAGAAAGGACATGCGAAACGAGGGGGGAGGAGAACCGAACGGGGTACATAGCAGACTGGGCGGAAGAAAACAACTGAGAATCGTTTAACCGATCCCCATCCCCAGCGGCGTGGCCTGGGCCCCACTGGCCGATTTACAACCCTAGATGGGGATATAGGTCGTCCCCTTCGGGATTCGAGGGGTGTATCCCCAACTGGGGTGGTAATTTGGGGGGGGTCTCGAAAGGGATGGGGATAGGGGGTGGGGATCGTTTAAAGTTTAAGGATACTGAACGACGAGAGAGGAATGCCGACACGCCGAGGAGGCGAACCTGAATCCTGTAGCATGTTATGACGTTCTGTGGCAACTCACGGGAGGCTGCCATTACAATCGTCATGGTTCTTGCGAATCGACGCTCGTCGACCCTGAGCGACGCTAGGTTACACCAATCGACGCTCATCGGCGTTTTTTCGACGCCGCTAGTCGCTGTGGGCGGACGCTAACTCTGAGACTCATGACTGAGAGAGAAAAGCTGACTGATGACTCACGTAGGTATTCATCCCCTAAACGGAGCACCTCCCGACCTGGGAAGAACAAGGAGAGGCGTTGCGTCCGTCAGCGTGGTCGATGCCCAGCTTGAGTATGTCGACTGCGACTGTACACGCAACCGACGGTAAATCTGCGCTGCCTCATCGACTACCCGACGCTAGTCGACGCCGCTTCACTCAACGACGGAATTGCGAAGGTACGCAAGTCTCCCATGGTGTTTGGCGGTGCGCACAAGGGGTCGGCGCGAGGGGGGGGGGACCTTCTAAGAAGGCGGCGCGCTTCCTGAAGGCCTGGAGGTTTCTAAGAAGGCTTTTTAGAAGCTTCTGGGAAGGGAGGCCCTCTTCTTAGAAGAAATCTAAGAAAGCTGGAGGTCTGTGAGGAAGCTTCTGGGAAGGGGAGCCCTCTTTGAATGGCCCGGAAGCTGCTTCTAAGCAGGATTCCTACAGGCCGCGAGGGCCTCGGAGGCACCTGTCCTCCTCAGAAGGCCGTCCCCCCTCGCTCGACCCCCTGGGGCGCACCGCCAGGCTTCGCAACCGAACTGAAGGACTCGGAAAGGGGGGCGCTCGAGACGTCGCCGTGCTTGACGACGTCGTCGAGACGTCATCGTCGTCGTCGTCGGAGGAGGAGGAGGAGGCGTCGGAGGAGTCGAGGCGTCGTCGTCGTCGTCGTCGTCGAGGCGTCGTCGTCTTCGACGTCGTCATCGTCGTCGTCGTCGAGTTGTCGTCGGCTCGTTCTTCGATGGCCCAAAAGGGGGGACCAGGAGAGGACCCCGAGAGACCGAACCCGGCACAACATAACCTCCAGAACCAGCTGCCCTCCGGACCCGTCCGCCTCTCTTTACAGCTTACCCGTATCATTAAAATTCGCGATGAGGATACAAGGGCCTTGGACGCCCGTTTTCAAGCTTTTCGAGCGGGGCGCGGCCAGCGAGAGTGGCCAAGGATGTGCCGACGAGGCAAGAATGCAAAGGCAATGTCGGCTTGTGATTAACATATCCGTGGGGGGCGCGCGCGTTTAAAGACATAGTTTTCCTGCTCAGGCGAATCGCGGGATGGCGCCCGCCAGGTTGAGAATCAACGGGGTGGCGCCAGTGATTCGCGCCGACGCCCAGGCGCCAACGAGGGGCAAGGGGGAGGTGTTTGGAGGCAAGGGCGAGCCAGGGCGCCCCTCTTTCTGTCGAACCGATGCGGGCCTGCGGGCAAGGCGGGATGGACGAAAGTGGGGCGCAGCAAAGGAGGAATGTGCCAAGCAGCGCACATCGCCGACTTTCCAAGCGCCCCCTGGCGCCGAAAGCGGCCATGCGTCGAGGACTGGCACTTCGGCGGGGCGACCGAAACCAGCTGCGCGCAGCAGGCTTCGCAACCCCCCTCTTCCCTAGCCTTTCGTCCTCCTTCTCCTCCTCCTCCTCCTCCTCCTCCTCCACCGTCTCCTCCTCCGCGTCCTCCTCGTCCTCCCCTTCCTCCTCTTTCTCCCTCTCCTCCTCTTCCTCGTCCTCCTCCCTCTCCTCCTGTTCCTCCCTCCCCCTCCTCCTCCCTCCTTGGCGCGCGTGATTCAACACAAACATCGCGCCCCGCGGGGTCAATTCATCAGCTTCAAGGGGGGGCGGGTCCGGTCATTTGTTAATCACTAGTAAACCACCCTTTATTGAAAACGGCCAGTGACCGAGAAACCAACGAACCTAGACCAGCAAACATGACGGCCGCGACGTCCTCTCGCGGACCGAAAACTGCCGATTCGCTGATCGACGTGTCAGGGTAGGAGGTCTACCAACCTCCGAGTGGAGGCAAGGAGGCAAGGGTACCCTGTGGAAGCTTGCCCATCCTTACCATGCGGGCTGGCTGTGATGTGAAGTCGGGCACGTCCCCCTACAGGGGGATTTTGGGCGCAAAATTAACAATACCAAAAAACAATAATGCTCAAAAATAGTATTGAAAAAAAGTCCCCCGGCCATTGTTTGACTATTTTTGAATCTTCCTCCTGTACACCTTAGGCGATGCTTGAGAAAACTTATGTTCTCGGCCAGAGACTCGATAATTCTTAATGTTTGAATGTAAATCCTAAGATGGGAATGGCAATTCTTGGCTTTTTACTCAAACTCTGAGACTGTGAATTTCTCAACCCATGATTTCTTTAGCATTTCGCAGGGTGCAGAGGGACAGGCCCGACTTCGCTGTGATGTCCGCCGCCGGTCTGCCCGCGGAGCCCCCGCCGTCGGGGATCTTCTCTTGGACGCCCGCAAGGGGTACGGAAAAAAGGGGTACACTGCCCAACAACAAATGTGGTCCCAAACAAACAGCGACCGCTGTTGGGCAGGCGGCCTTCTGTCTCGAATGGACACAGGCCGCGGCGGCGTGGACAGCGAATCCTGTTCAAAATGAACAAGAACTGCTGCTGGGAATCGTACCCATCCTTCCCATAATTACCCACTTCGGGCGTCCAGACTTCTGACCCGGGTCAATCCAGACCCGGGTCAGCAAGAAACCAAAAAGCTACAATGCAGGACACATAACAACTGCAGCGCGAGTCTTCGCAAACCCGGGTCAGCCAATCTGCGCGGCCGCTCCGCGGCCACGAGCGGCTCGCTAACCCGGGTCAACCAAAAGGGGTCTTCGCAGAATCCTGCAAGATCCGGTGCCTTGGATTGTGTTGCTTCCTTCGTACTTAGGGAATACATCCCAGAAATAGTTTCGAGCACCCAGAAAGAGTGTCGAAACAGTGTCTCCCAGGGCCCGACACGTGAGAACCCTCGAGTTTCGGTACTTTTCTCCGGTGCTCGATATTCTTTCCGGTGCTATACTAGGTTGGAACACCAGAAGCCTGGGCTGACCCCCGTTTAGGGGGCCACATGCGAACCCTACCCCTACCCCCCACGATTTCGGAGGGGGAGGGTGGGGTTCACTTCGTCCGGGAACTCTGGGGTTCACCTCGTCCGGGAGCTCCCGAACGAAGTGAACCCCACCCTCCCCCTCAGAAATCGCGGGGGGGAGGGGGAGGGTTCGCAGGTGGCCCCCTACCGTTGGCATGGACCCCCGTCTCCAAGGGCTCCCAACTTCGCGCTTCGCGCTGCGCGAAGCGCGAATAACTTCGCGCTCTCGCGCCGCCCCCCCAAAGGGAGAAAAGGAGGACGAGGAGGAGGGGGAGGAGAAACGAGGACCGCGAAGCGCGAAGCGCGAATAACTTCGCGCCCTCGGGGGAGCCCTTGCGTCTCCAGGCTCCCGCCGCCGCCGCCTCCCCCCCTCGCCGGCCTCCGCCGAGGGCCAGGCGCGCCCCGGAGCGCAGCCCTCTCCGCGTGCTCCGGCCTCGCCCCCGAAGCGAGGGTGAGGTCGGGGCCCGTCCCTCTGCAGGGGGGGGAGGATCTTTGAAGGGGAACTGGAACACACAAATAAATACACACAAATAAAACAAATCCCCGTATTTTCTTATATTTTCTGGGTTTTTGTCTTCCCCACCACTTCCCATATTTTTGCATATTTTCCTGGGAGTCGACGATTAATTGTGTCTGTGTGTTTCTTTCCCTCCTGAATCTTCAAAAATAGTAGAACAAGTTGTCTGGGGACTGTTTTTTGGCGTATTCTTGGGCATCTCTTTCGGGTCTTGTTTTCAACTTGTTTCTATTTTTCGTCCAAGATCTCCCTTGTAGGGGGACAGGCCCGACCCAAAACAAGGGCGCAGACGCAAGTGGGCTTGGGTCGGGCTCGTCCTCCTACGGGCGGATTTGGGAGGACAAAATGAACAAGCAGTCACAAAAACCCAAACAGAATTTTAAACATGTGAGAAAAAAAACAATCACGAAAACCCAAACATCTAATAAAGATAATCGAATCCTCGCCTCCAGGCTATTTTTACCT